GTGTGTAGCAAGCCTGGATTGCTTGACTTCACAGAAAAAAACGCCAGGTTCAGTAAATACAGCAACATCTTCAGGCTCATAGTCTAAGGCTGTGTTGATACGAGCCATGATATGCCTTATTACTTTTGGAGGTCTGTTATGCAGGTACTTTGGCACATATTCATGGTACTTGCGGTACATTGCCGATCTTTCTACATTCTGCTGAATAAAGACGCTTTGTCTCTCTGGAAGAAACTTTTTCATCACTACTGTAATAAGGCTCGAAAGGCTCCTTCTCCCGTGACTCCACCTCAGGTAATGCTCCTTGAGGATGCGGTTCTGTGTCTCTGTTCCGTTGTTTGTTGTAACGACGACACCAAACTTCATTCTGTGGTATTGAACCCACATCTTGGCTGCTGGCATCCACTGCGTTTCAAAGTAGCTAGCTACTTTGTCGTTCCTCCAAAAAACTGAGTTCTTCAGACATTTGTAGGCCTCGTCAAATTCCTTCCTGCGGCTTGAATTGGCTATTTTGCGAAAGAGACCAAGCAGGGCATCTTTCTGGTCTGGAGGGACATCATTTTCCTTCTTTTTCACCCACCTCTCCCAAGCCTGTTCACGGTGAAAGTTGCACAGCATGACTTCACTCTGTGGGAAGACTTCAGAAATCGCACTTATTTCAGCCTGGCGAAAGTCCACCATGAAATACTTAGGCAAGTACTCAGGATCCCAGCTTTTAAACACACTGAGTGCCTCACTGATGCACGCACTTGTTTCGTACTGCACCACAAAAACACCTGCCACCATGTAATTCGTGGGTGTTTTTACAACAAGGAAAAACAGTGGCAAGCTGTAATCTGTTGTCTTGTTTGTGGCATCAAGGCATGTCACATTGTTGCCATACTGCTTTAGTAGTTCTGCCATGAAGCGAGACTGATAGCAGAACAGCAAGGTCCTGTCGCATTGTTTTGCCAAGGTCTCCTCTACATTAATCTGGTCATCGTCGGCCTCGGGGATTGTCGTTTTTGCTTCACTTGTGTAGCAATATGGCCGGAAGAGCACCTTTGATGTTGGTTCTTCTCTCTCCAGTGCAGATACCAGCATTGCAACATTCTCCTGATCCAGATTGCTACAGCGCCCTTGCCTCAAAGATTCCTGAATATGGTTGCGGATGTCTTTGGATGTCGGGTAAAATGCTCTGCAATCTAGATCAGGTTTTTCCTTGCCATTGAAGAGCACGTCCTGTACATAGTAGCGAAGGCATGTCTTCACTTCATGCACAGACGTAATGCCTTCCTGAACGAGGTCATTAATTCTTTCAATAATACTGTGGTCCACCGTCTGTCCATACTTCATGAAGTTGCCAAAGTCATGTTCTGTGTGGCATGACATCTTTGTTATTGTGACGTAAAGTCGCATTTCTGACCTTGGTGGATTGTCTCCATTAAGTTGTTGTGACAAGTTAGTCAATGCAGCAGACTTCAGCATGGTGATCCGGTTCTTCGTACATCCTTGCACTGCAATCTAAGGGCGATCAAGAGAACAAGTTACGCAAACATGTTAAGAATTTTTTCAAAGGCACTTTTCTTGGCAAATATGTAGCACTACCATAAGATATGCAGACTTTACAGTAATGTCACCGCTGTTAACATAGTGAAATACAGCTAGCATTGTGAAGTGTTATTGCTGCACCTAATTCACTAGTGATCACAAGCATGCCGAAAAAATTGGGGGACCTTTAAGCTTCGCCTTTAAGAGTTGAACGCAACAGCGAAATCTGGCCCCTAGTGCGCACTTCAACCACTAAGTGCATACTTATTAATGTGTGTTGTTACACACACACGCACATAGACGCGCGCGCGATGTATCTATAGTAATGGTACAAGTTTTCGATCTAAAGCACTTCCCTGTGCTAGTCAAGACATATTTCTCACAATGCCTCGCAGATGGCAGCACATTATCTAATTTTTACTGTTTGCTTGATCAATGCCTCCTCTAGAAAGGAGGCGTTGGCTTGATATGTTTTCCGCTAGATGGACATAGTTGTCCATTTTTGGAGCTCTTTGGAAGTTCGTCTGTGTTTTTAGCGGCGATGGCTGCACTATCCCGGCTTTTTTCGAAGCATGGCGTCGCGCAAAAAACGTAGTTTGATGGCCTCGCCAATGCGCCTACAAATTGCCGAATGGGCTCATTTTCGTCGCGACACCTGCCAAACAAAATGCGTTAAGGAGACTCCTTCCACTACATGACATTTATGTAGTGTTTTTTTCCAAAGCAGTTGCAAGTAACATCGTGGCTTTGTGGTAGGACGCCTGCTTGCCACGCAAATGGCCCCGGGTTCGATCTTCAATGGGACCGAAGATTTTTATTGTTTATTTTATTTGCACCTTTCTCGATTTTTCGCTCACAGGCGACGCTGTTACCGACGTCGGCGACGGGATTTATGCGAAACGAGCTCTCTAACGCTATCGCGTTAATATAGTCGCTAGGACATTGTGCACAAGCCTGAATGATCTCCACGAGGTAGATATATGTCGGCCGTAACCCACCATGAATAGGTCTTGTGTTGGCAAAGAGTGCTATATATGAGAGCTGAGAATATAACAAAACATGAGGGCAGTGCTTTTGTGCTATTCCGAGTCCTGCTTTTGCACCATTTACCGCAAGATGCAATACGAAGGTGTGACAAGTATGGTGAAACACTTGAAACAGAGGCTTATTATACTACATCTTGGGTTAGAATATTTATGAAGCTCTTTAGTTGAACAGCATGCACATTGAATGCATTGAACAGAAAACTAGATAATGTAGATGGAATGGCCGCCATTTAATGGATATTCATACCTCAAAGTCTGGGAACACCTCAACCTTCTTAATGTGCATAGTTGCTGTGCATCCCTTCTTCTTTGTGCTTTGGAGTTTCACTCTTTTTTTCTTGAACGTCTCTGCTGTCCAGTCCACATCAGGTTGGCCTCCATTGTCTGCCATCTGAGTGGAAGCCATGCAATGAGCATTAAAAAAATGCAAAAGCTATTCATTGTAGCGTTTTATTAGATGGCAGTAGGGAGCAACTTGTTTTTTATGCTTGAGGGTAAACATGATATAATGCAGTATAAAATGTTCCACTGTTCAATTAACTGAAGAAATTGTTTGCCAGCTTTTTTGCATACATTGGCTTTCTTGAAATACCAAACTAGTTTTTACTAGTTTCTCATAATCTGAACATGTGCAGGGGTGCAATAGCCAAAATAGAATTTGAAGCAGTTTTTGTAGCAGCAAAATGTTGCTTTTGGAGCACGAAAATCAAGATTCGGATTCAGAAGAGCTTGTGTAGGGGCTAGTTGCAACATAGTGGAAGATAAAGGCAGTGCCGCAAAGTTAGAGTGCCGACAGGAATGAGACACAAAAAGTGTATCTCTAACAATTGATTTAATGAAACAAAAACACCAAAAAGGGGAGGGCAAAGACTTGAAATTCAAAAGAGGGCGCTGTGGGCAAACTGCGAATAAGCAAACATGAATGCTAAGAGTAAAAAAAAAATTGCATTTATCTCTTGGAAATTAACATTTAAAAAATGCCTTATCAAAATCAAGGTGAAACATGTGCAGCATTTAAAATTATCTTTGTTTTCCTAGAAATGCCACTTGCCTGTCTGTAAGTGCTGTGGACGGAAAGCTCATGCATGCGGTTAGCTTCTCCAGCAGCATACAAGATGTTTCTACAATTGTTCTTTTAATTTTGTCCTTGCTGTATACCAAAATAGTTGTCTCTGAAATTCGGGTTACACTTACAGGCAGAGCAGTGCTGAGCAAGATTTCCGTCGATTTAAATTCTACTGCATAAATTCTTGTGTTCCTGAAGCCTTTTGTTGAGGCACCTGCTCTTCTGTCCAATGTAGGGTGCCCGGCAGGACAGAGGGATTCTACAAACTTCTAACTTGCACTAAAAAAATTTCTTGACATGTTTGATGTTACATGTTGCACCTCTAGTGCCCTTCATTACTGCTCTGCATGTTACCTTTTCAATACACAACACTACCAATTTTTGGGGTGCTGGGAATATCACCTGCACATCGTACCAGGAAGACACTTTTTTTAATATATGTGCTATTGTGTGCATGTACGGTAACACAATAAAAGTGCCCACATGAAAGCACGCAACCCTTGGCAGCTGCAACAGGAGCCAGCTGTTCTGGCCGTCTTGGCGGCAAGGCACGTTGATGCAGACAGCACTACTGCATTGCCTTTGAGCAGTCTTGACCTGGTGTTTTGTCATTGAGTCTGCAGACAAGCCACCTGTCTAGGTGTGGATACAGGGCTTGACAAGCACCAAATGCCAGTGATATCAACAAGGGGTGGTGTCGCCAGTGCACGGACATGCTATAATGACATTTACGCCACATGAACTGCCTCCTGTTCACAGAGCACATACATAGTGTGTGCTTTGCTGGGGGATGTAGGGATGCTCTCGTTCCCTGATAGCGTTTACATGCCTTGTCAGCCAGCTCCCCCACAGTGGTGCTACCTGATAGTGAGGACACGTAGGGCCCAAAGGAATGAATGCCTCTTTTTTGTTCTTTGGAGCGCATTGCATGTCATAAGGAGCTCCACAGGCTCCTTTCCATTGACCCGAATACACCTCTATTTGTGATACATGACCCCAAACTGCATATGCTTGGCTTTCTTGCAGGGTTAAACTTTACTCGCTGCTTAACTGGGCATGGTGAGTCAAACATTGCCGATTCTATAGCGTGTTACACTGACATGCTATTATTTGTATAACTCCGCTAGCGGGCTTGCTGTGTAAAAGGTGCAAATAAATGCCTATTTCTTGGTTTGCACTGTGATGTACTGTGTCCTTTGTTCCTTAAGTGTGTGGAGATAGGTTTGCACGACGCTTAACCTACGAGGCGACCGGGCAGGGACGCGACGTTCTCCACTGCCGCAGCGAACAAAGACGCTGCAGCTGGGTTCGTCGACTCTCCAACACGGCGCAGAAAAGGCACTCGAGGCAGGTTGTCAACAAACACGGGTTTATTAACCCAAGATGCAGCACAGTGCGACAATCATGGGTTTGCGGGCCGTCAGGGTAACTCCCAAGACCGATCATGTACGCTTGCCAGTGGCGCTACGACTATTACACAAAGGGGCAGCAGTCGAGTGCACGAACGAGAAGCCGCCTGCCAGAGCAGCGCGTCAACCTCTCGTGCGGGCCTGAGAGCATCTGACGCGGGCAAGCCCGCGCCAGACAGAAGCGAGCTCAGGGGGAAGGGGGTTGTCACTGGCGGCCAATGAGGACAGGCGTTGCACAGTGACGTAAGCTAGCGCGGTGGCTTGTCCAGACATGCCCGGACGTGTGCCGCGCGCCGGGAAGCCGACACATGGCTCGCACCAGACAAAGAGGCCTGGCGCCACCACCGTGGTCGCCATACTGCCGATTAGCAGCGGTTCCCGGCGCTCGAGCCGCGCGGGGCCAACACACACGCTAGCTGGGGAACGAGGCGCCAAAGGGGACGGCGCGCTCGATTCCCACATTCCCCCCTCCTAAAGACCGAGGCCAGCCTGTGAAAGAGGCTGTCCGAGGCCAAGTGGCAAGGTCAGCTCAGCCGCAAGGGGACTGGCAAACGGGGCAAAGTCCAAAAGGGTGATGTCGTCTTCCCGAAGATACGAGTCCATAGGTCGGCCATGGTCACACTTAACGTCCCACCAAAAGTTCCACCACCAGGGAGAGCCCACTGCCGGGAGAAGGTCCACAGCCCAGGAGTAACGGGGAAGACTGCACAACAAGGGCGGGCAGCTAGCCTGCTTGAAGTTCGCCGGTCTGGAGAGGTTGGCAGCCGGGAACGTACGAGGCGTGGCTGCAAGTTGCGTGTGGCAGCCAACTGCCGAAAGTCGCTGGGATGGGGGCCTCACAGGAACGGCAGGCCGGAACAGCAGACAGCCAGGAACGGAAGCCGGAGCGACCACGCTCGGGCCTGGGCCAAAGCTTGAGTGGGCGAACCAGCCGCCGAGGCGACTTTAGAGGCTGTCAGGTGGATTAGGCAGGGTGGAGGTGGCTGCAGGGCCGAAGGCAGGAACGAGACCACAGCAGGGAGGACCAGGGGACAGCTGGTCAGGAACAGGCTGGTGGCAAGTGCCAAAGATCCCACACATTCAATAGTGATAAAATGATGTACATAAAAATATCTTTCAGCGAAATCACTGTGGTCGAAAGAAACTTTTAATGCTGGCTGAAATCACTTTTATAAGCATTCAACAGTAGTCTCATTTGTACACAACAATCTTAATCATTTACTTACAGAGTCCTCTGATTGACCTTTGTGTGAGTGCTTGTCTTTTCCATACAGGCACCCTTTGTCAGTCAATGATAGTACTCTGAAGGGCAGCTGCAAGTTCAGAGGCACAGCTCCCCGGTTGATGGAGAACATAAGCTTCACTGCAGAAACATTGAACACAATTTTTTTTATTGCTTTACAAATTTTACTGTGTAGCATTCATTATAATATAATGCAAGGTGTTGTTAACATGCTTGATCAGCACAGACATAGTGCTTTGAATGCAGTCTGCTTCTATTTTAGCTCTGGCAATAAAGACGAATGCCCTACGAACTCGTAGGTTGTACCACCAAGGAACGTCATTAACTGTTGAGTGCACTATGTACAAGAGCACTAATAGTGGAACATTCAGACAGACTAATATCACAAAAATGCCATTTCTCAGTGAACAGTGAATTTAGCTCATTACTACATAGTACTGGGAACACTGCAGTAATTGCTACAGCTATGCTACAAGTAGAGAAACTGCTCCAAAACGTGGCCTTCAAGATTATGTATTACAGCGAAAATTGGCTTCATCCAACCCTAAAGTTGGGCCCTGCAACGCATTTCGGGCATAGTCAGAAAACGCTGCCAACTGGTAGTCGGTGCTCCCGAGAACATGTAAACCAAGCATTATAGTGCAGCACACGGCATGGAATTTACAATTCGTTCTCAAAGTCGGCTAGAAACCGCTCGTTCTCTCGACAAATGATGCCACAAGCCCATATGACCATACAATAAACCCAAGTCCACAGCTACTGGCTGGTTTGAGCATCGAGCAGTCACAGAAGCTGCCACAGGCAACGCGATATGCCCGTGCGCTTGCTCACTATCATACTGAAGGTAACCATGTGCTCGAAGAAAAGAAAGCGCTCACATGCGCATGACATAACTTCTTTTTCCTGTGCGAAATTCCCCTGCTTAGCTTCCAGCGTGCTTGTGGAGACGTAATAAGAGAGGAAGTGCCTACAGAGTGTGACAAACCTAACTCCACTCGTACTCAACAGATTCTAAACGCTTTTGTGGCAGTTGATTCGTGAGGCGTGCACCTCTAGCAGACGCTGCCTGCGTTGAACCTGTGACGCTAGACACTCCCTTTTGTCTAATGGTGCACGCGCGTCAATCCTGGAGGTATAGTGAACTATGGGGTTCGCAAAGGAACGCAGATTTTATCCTTGAGAAGCGCGCAAGAAAACACAGGGACAAAGAAGAGATACACACCGGACAAGCGCTTTCTAACAACTAGTTTTATTGAAGAAAACTCAGACTTCTTATCCTAACAGAACTGCGTAAGGTACATGTACATATCACCGCGCTTAGTAATACTCGTGAAAATGGCTAAACAATCACAAAAAAAGCAGAAATGCCCTTAGATTTTAATAATCAACGCTTATATACTTACGCTTTCCTGCCTTATGTAGGTTTTCTTCGGCATGTTTCCTGGAGGATGTCACCTTGAATGACACTCCTAGGCCGAGAAGGGCTCTTTCTAGGTGCTCCAGTTCTTGATCGGTCTTCACGTATCCACGCCAGTTGTGTTCGCCACTCTCAAAGTCCAGGAGATGCGATCGTACGATTGCTTCATCTGCCATAATCAAGCCGCCAACGAACTACGCAGCGTGGATGACGACCACGCGTAGTAGAGTAGAGTAGATCCTAGAAACTATAGGCACACAACCACGCTGGGGGATTCGCGAACCATGACAACAAAACAAGCCTTCCCTCTTTTTTTTTATCACGTAACCTTAGCAACCTTAGAGTCGCTTAACAAGACGTAGTCACAATAAGACATAGCCAGTTGAAGCCGATCGCTTTAACCAATGACGTCATACGTGACGTTGCAACTAGGGTCACGTGACCCCGAGCTGTTGAGGTGCAAATAGACGCTCCCCTTTCTTACGGCTTGCGCTTCGGGTCTACTTCCCACCTTTAACCACCTCGAGTTCATAGTATATACTAGTTCCTTATTTTTTATTTTCATTGCGCTAGATTGTAAACACGTCAAGTAAAGTTTCCACAGTCTCTTCTCGATCCACTCTCCACGCAAATTAGGGAGGTTATTTTGATTTGTAACTCAACAAATTCTCTGGAAATACACTTCCATGACACTTTCTCTAATATAGTGCTAAACACCTACCGGGTAACATGTTAAGAGCTACTTTACAGGACTACCTGCTAAGAATACAAGAAAAGGTCATCATTGCGACGGACGCTTTACAGAGAGATGAAATCGTTTTTGTGGCCGGTAGCAAAACGTGTTCATCGTAAAGCCACCACCATCGTTGCGGCCTTGCCGAGACAGCACAATGGGGCAAATGCTATGATTGTTCGTACGCGGAACGTTAGGGAACACTTGAATCATTGCGAGCACTGGCGCACGAGTGGGCTTGTCACGTGGCCCAACCTGCTTGCCGACCACATGATGAGCATGTAATTTGTTGGCATTCTGAACTTAGCCCGTGCAGCAATGGCAGGCTTTGTTTTCGTTAACATTTCTAATTAAAAAGCTTCTGAGCGAGCGAGGCTGATCTTGACCACCTTCACATATACGCTCCAAATTTTGGTGGTAAGTAAACTGGTTAAAATTAACAAGAAATGTTTATGCACAAATATATTCACAGGCGACTAAGCCATTAAAACAATTCTATACCATTACGAATTTCGCGTGTTTATCTTGCCAGGAGCACGATGAAGAAATTGCCTTAAATTTGTTGAGAGTTCAGTGATGCGTCCTTGCGGAGAGCGTTTATCCTTACGAGAACAGAAAACTGGGCTAGTTTGTTGCAATTCATGTTAAGGCGTTGATGATTGAACTTCATATTATGCATGATGTGACTTTGATAAAAATAGCTTTACTAGGTGCTATAGAGTCCGAAGCCATCGCATGCAACTATAGAGGCAACTACCTATAAGCTCTATAACATTGCTAAGAATCACTGCACTTGTACAAACAATACTAGTTAAACCAACGCTTTGGGTGAAATCTCCGTTTGGCTTAGTTTTGTGTTAAAAAAATTGGCAGATCCCACGTACAGTGGCAATCGATGATAAGCGAAGCACGAATAAGGACTGGTGATATGTAACTAAAATCAGCACTACGTTAAGAGGCGGAGGTAAATTATGCCGCACAGGACTTCGATGTCATGATTACCATGTTTGGACGTTTCATTTACCTTCTTCATCTATTAACGTCACCTGATAGCAACTTCGGTACATGTGGAGCTAGCGAAACAGCCGCGAGCGTGCTATGAGCGTAGCATGTAGTCACGTTTTACATGAATTATATATAATGATTATCATATTTGGACGAGTCATTTACATTCATCGTCCATTCATATCACGTAATAGAAAATTTGGTATAAGTGGAACTAGTGTAACGGCCGCGAGAACGCTATTAGCGTAGCATGTAGTCATGTCTTACATGAAACGCTTACTATGATTATCACGTTTGGACGTGTCATTTACTTTCGTCGTCTATTCACTTCCCGTGATACCAAATTGGGTACATGTGCAGCTAGCGCATTGGCGGCGAGTGCGTCATAAAGGGCCCAACATACTCCGTTGCAACGTTGACGCACGCGCAGGCTGGGTGCAGCGACGCCACGCTGCCGGCGCGACCAGCATCTGTCGGAGCAGCCCGGTGGCAAATGGCGCAAAATGCAACATGCTGCATTTTGTGCTGACGACGTCTCTTAGACAGCACCGCGTCTGTCTCTCTTCGTGACGGAGGGACGCCATGTGCACTCTAACGCGCATGCGCCAAAGCAACGCAGCGCCTCACGCGCCTGCGAGTATATGGCATGCAGACCCACAGTGAAGGTCAGTGGGCAGGTCCACTGATCTCTACTAGGGGGATATCGGTGCCTGGCGTGGCATCGGCGGTATGACGCGATAAAACAAACGCCGGTGCGCACGCGCTCTGGCTCACGTTGAAGTGTATTGGCGCCTTGAGTGTGGCGTGTAATAACGTTCTTACATGACACGCATCTCATGATTATCATGTTTGCACCAGACACATACCTTCGTCATTTATTCCTGTGTGAGTGCACCCATTTCAACGCGCAAAGACAAGAACTCACTGCAGCTCTGGATAGACTGGACGATCGGCCTTTGTCGGAACAAAGGATTCTGGGTCATTGGCCGAGCCCATCCTCAGCCCAGAAGGTTTTGAGAGCTTTGGTGCGCTTTTTGCGGACAACTGGCCTCAGAGACAGACTTTAGTGTCTTATACTCTTTGATGTTGCCTTTCCTCTGTCGCATTTTTTTGGTAATTTCTCTCTCTCTTCGCAACATTTCATTTTAACATCTTTCATAACCCTCACTCCTTTCCCCAGCACAGGGTAGCCAGCCGGCCTAAGAACTGGCTAACCTCCCTGTCTTTCCGCTTAAACTTTCTTTCTACTCTTCCTCCTCCTGTGACGTAATACCAAATTTTGGTATATGTGAAGGTAGCGCAACGACCGCGAGCGCATCATGAGTGTGGGATGTAGTCACGTTGTTACATGACACGCATGTCATGATCATCATGTTTGCACTCGTCTTTACCTATGTCGTCCGTTCGGGTCACGTAATTCCGAATTTGGTGCATGTGAAACTAGCGAAACTGCAGCGAGCACATCATGAACGTAGCATGTAGTCATGTTTTTACTTGACACGCATCTCATTATTATCGTGTTTGCACCAGCCACATACCTTCGTCATCTGTTCACGTCCCGTAATAGCAAAATTGATATATACAAAGCTAGTGAAACAGCCGCGAGCACGTCAAGTGTGTGGCATGTAGTCATGTTGTTACATGGCACGCATGTTATGATTTTGATGTTAGGGTCTGTTGCTTGTGTTCACCATGTAGTCATGTCATACCATACCAGTTTCGCAACAAATCATGCGAGTGAAACCACCGCAAAAGCAGCAAGAAAATGACTTGTAAATCATGAAATTTATGACATACATGTAATGATTTTCCTGTCATGACTAGTCAGCTATGACTAGTCATTGTACAGTCATGTTATATCATACCAAGTTTGGCATCGATTCCATTGTTCAAACGGCAAGGTGAGCTAAAAGTTGTAGGTGGCTAGATAGATAGATAGATAGATGGATGGATAGATAGACAGACAGACAGATAGATAGATAGATAGATAGATAGATAGATAGATAGATAGATAGATAGATAGATAGATAGATAGATAAGCTCAAAGCCGCGAGAGTTCACCAAGAAATGCTTTGCATTTAATAGGTGTGAGCTTTAAAATATTTTTACTGAGGGTTTCCGCAGCAAAAACAAAGTGATTGATATTTATTATTGATGAGTAACGACAGAAATAACGCCCGTTACTTTTTTTCGGTAACTGTAACGGTAACGCGTTAAAGTTTTTTTTGTTGGTAACGAAGAGTGGTAACGTGTTCCTTTTTTGTTGGTGTAAGGAGTAACGTATTTAGTTACTTTTTTGTTGGGGTAACGGATACAACACTGCGTCTAGAGGGCTGGTGCTTGTCTTGGGTGAGATCGCTCACTCGCTACTCCGTCCATCCGTCCGTCCGTTCATAGTTCACGCTGTGTATATACTGGCATAGCCGAGCTAAGCCATTGTAATAATGGCAGATCCCACGTACAGTGGGCATCGATGGTATGCGAAGCACGAATGACGAATGTTGATATGTCACTTTAAAGTCAGCACGAGGTTACGAGGTGGAAGTAAATGATGCCGTACATGACTTTCGTGTCATGATTGTCATGATTGAATGTGTCGTTTACAATCGTCATCTAGTCACGCCATGTGATACCAAATTTAGTATATGTGGAGCTAGCGAAACGGCCGCGAGCACGCTATGAGCGCGGAATGTTGTCAAGTTCTTACATGGCGAGCGTGTCAGAATTATCATGTTTGCACCAGACATATGACTCACCATTCATTGACGTCGCGTAACACCGAATTCGGTGTATGTGAAACTTGAAAAAAAATGGCAGCGTATCCACGGAGTGAATGATGGAAAGTGGGGTGAAGAATTCGTCCGTCCATTCGTTTTTGCTTCCGTCCGTCCATGCGTCCGTCAGTGTGACCGTCCATGCGTCCATCAGCCCGTCCGTGCGTGCGTCTGTTCATGCACCCGTCCCTGCGTTCGTTCATGCATCCGCCCCTGCGTCCGTTCATGCGTCCACCCATGCATCTGTCTGTGTGTCCGTTCGTCCATCTCTTTAACACTCCAAGTACCACCATCTCGCATCTTTTCATCATATATTCCCCATATAGAAGCACCGCCATCCAGCGGACATTCCAAGGACTAAACGAGAGGTGGCACACGCACACTTTCTTACGGCTTGCGCTTCAGGTCCACTTCCCACCTTTAACCGCCTCGAGTTCATGGTATATACTAGTTCACTGTATTCATTGCACTGCGGCCGAACGCTCGCTAAACCTTTCGAAAACCAAGGAGGTTACGCCCAGCGAGTATGACGTAGCAAACTTTTTCAGTCAGATAGTGCTCAATGTACATCCCAATGGCTGCTAATGGGAAATGAGAGGCGGAGAATTCGGCTTTTACTTTCTTACGGCTTGCGCTTCGTATCTACTTCCCATTTTTAACCACCTCGAGTTCATTCATGGTATATACAAGTATTGTATTCATGACACTGCGACTCAACGCTCGCTAAACCTTTCTAAAGCTAAGGAGGTTACACCCAGCGAGTATAACGTAGCAACCATTTCTTGTCAGATAG